TGCGCACACATCTTGAATAAAACACGAACCCAGCCGAGTGAAGCAAAACGAGCGAGAAAAGCGGCCAGGTTCTGTAACTAATTAGAACTGGCATTATGTTTTTCTACACTCCTTCGGTGCGATCCCAGCTTTTCCGCACCTTTTGAGAGCCACGCACGCAGGCGGCAGGAAGAAAAACAAACACGCTAAGATGACCGCCAAACACGCGCTAAACACTCGCGCCTAAAAACCGAAAGTTTCCGCGCCGTGCCGCAGTAAAATAAGTTTTATAGGCTTAGCGGTCCTCTCCATCGCTGACGCCACCGACGCACACCGCCCCCAAAGTCGTCGTTCTTAGGTATTACGCAAGCATAAAACTTTGAGCAAAGGGCGTGAAACTTGACCGTACTTTGAGGTTAATTTTACGTGCAAATAGACCGCGAGCGTTTTGTGTATGCGAAGACAACCCCCAACCGCCGCCGACGCCGCCGCGTCTCTTCAAATAAAGTTACTTGTTGTCTCTAGGCGCTCGTACTTAAAGTGGAATGCGCGACTTGCCTCAAGTGTCTCGCTCTTTTGAATTATATTTACTCTTCGTCAAGTTTGTCGAGTTTGCAACTCTCGGGGTGTTTTAAAATTGCCGCCGACATAATTTTTATATACCCTCAAGGGTAACATCGATTTGTTAAGCAATAAATCATTCCGATAAACACGATTGTTATTCTTTATTTGCATACGCCTCATTGATGGGGGAGGATTTTTTTTACTGTTAGTGCTCGTGGCAAGAATAAAAGCGCGTAAACTTGTCGGTTTGTATATAGCGGCAATATTTTATATTTGATCGCGTCTCGTCATACGTCCCCTAAGGCCAATGCGCGAAATTGAAGCCGAGCGCACGCCGCCGCCCCGAAAAACGGACACCGCCCGCCGGTTTTGAAATAAAAACGCGACGAGAAAACGGAGAAAGAAAGTTAAGCCCTTGTTTGCATTCTCAAGTGGACCCGTCGAACCCTCGAGACCTCCTGATTTACAAATAGAATAAATTTGGAAACTTTCTGAGGCTTGCCGTGCTCTTTGCCGTGGTGGAAAGTTGTCGCACGCGCGCGCGCGCGCTTTGGAAAAAGGTATCATTTGTAATGAAGATTTTCCTAGAAATGAAAAAATTCACAAGTGCGACAAATGACAAAAAAAGCAATTCATCTAAAAATGGCGCAAAGTTAAAGTTGGAGCACTAAGCGTGTCCGGAAAAGTTAAAGCACTAAGTCAATAATTGTCTTAATTTAATTACATTCCTTTGTTGCCGATAATGAAATTATTATCGTTCGGAGGGTGCGAAAAATTTAATTTCCAACGCTGCATAAAATTCTTTATGACGGATGTGCGGATTTTTCACGGTTTTGTTCAATCTCGCCAATGCTGAGTGTAAACATTGACTATTGCGAGTTTTTAATACGAAAATTTTCCAATCAAAAATTTGAATTTTTGCAATTTCTCTTTGGTTATTTTTTTCCACATTGTGTGTGATTATATTTCGTCACGGAAGCACACATATGTGAAATTCTCATCATGCCTCACAATCGATCTCTTTTGTTGGGAATTATTTTTCATGCACACCATCGTGTTTGGTTATTCACAAGTAAGTTAATGATTTTTTTCCGGTCGGTTCGCGGGCTCTTGGAGCTTTGATGTACGCGTAAAATAAACCACTTTGCAGAAAATCTAAAGTACGCCGCGTTTGCCAGCCGATGAAGCGCCGACAAATTACTCCGGAAACTAATTTTTATTCCATTAATTGACTTATCCGCGCTCGAAGAATCCCTGGCTGATGGATTTTCTCTTTTCGTCCGCATGCCTAGCCTTCCAGAGTTAATAAAAATGTTTCTGCGAAGCGGGAACTTTTTAATCTATTCTAATTGAATTGATTTCCACACAATGAAACCGAAAATAACGTGGCACACTAACCAGCTTAAATAAAAAAAAAAGAAGCGATATAGTATTAGAATTAATCCCGTGCAAACGAAGTGCAAATTTGAGCGGACGTCTCGGCTAAATCCAATTTTTGCAAACTGGCGTCATGCGCACTTGACTCGCTTTTATCACCGCAAAACCCCTGCTCGAAAGGGTGTAATGTCACTGGTGCTACAAAAAATACCGAACAAAAATTTCTTAATAAACAAGCGGTTTTATTATCAAAGGCGAGGGTCGCATTGTTCCAACTTTTTGCCGCTTTTGCAAAACAAAACCCCAAAAAAAGCTCGGTGCGAGCGCAAACCCAAAGGAGTCAAAGAAGTAAAAGAAAGAAAACTGCAAATTGCCATATCTATAATTCGGCTCTTGTAATTTTATGCCACCCCACGACTTTGTATTCGTTGGCGTAGAGCAAGAGCAAAGCTTGCGAAACGTATAAATGCCTTCCACATCTTCCACATCGCGCTTGCTTTATCCGGGGCGCCTCCGCCATTTTTGCCGACGCGCGTTTGTATCTGTGTTTTCCGGTCGCTGCCGTAATACTTTGGCTTTTAGTTAAAATCCCACAGCGTAAACGCTGCATTTATTTGTTTTGCGTACTCCCCAAGGCAAGCTATCCAAAAAATTCCCCTCCAAAAACATGTTTTTTAAAAATCCGCTCTTCTTTCTAATTAATTAATCCGATTCAATTGCGAGAATCAGTGTGCAAACACACGCTCGTGTTAATAAAGTTGATCGTCGAGATTCGTTTAATTAACTGCTTGATTTTTAGTACTCTGGAATTTGATTGCGACTCATAAAGGGAGTAACGCGTTGTCTGGAGAGCTTTTACGGCCGAATGTTCCGCCGAAAGTTCTTAGCGACACGTAAAGTGGCATTTTCGTGGCCCGGCGGCGCATTTCTTTCGAATTCGTTGGGCAATATAAACGCGAGGTAGTTAATAAGGCATGCGAAGCGTGGCGAAACGACAAAAGGCATCACCGGCCATACTGACAACCAGCTCCCCACACGCCTGTGTGTTTCTTTTAATAAAATTCGAGGCGAAAATATTTATCAACTTCGAGATAAAAATAAATCTCTTTTCTTACGTGCGCGCGCGCACTCACACGCACAAGAATGATATATTTCCAATCCTTACAAATCTCCTATTTCCAGGTAGCTTTAACCGAAATCCCTGTTATTCGCACAAAGGCCCTGAAAAAAGTCGTTTTCCTAGACGCGCAGCGAAAAATGAAAGCTGTAGGTATATTCTTCAACGTGCGGAAAATAGAAAATCGAAAAGACATCAACTGAAATAATAATTATATACACAAATAATAGCTATTATCAGATATAACCTAGTTAAACAGTTACTATTGAAATTTTGTTGGAGTCTTTTTCGATTTGCAATCTGGGAATGAAAAATCAGGTTTGATCTATTGGTCAGAGCGCACCGGAGAGAAATGGTAATAATTCAATCACTGAATATTGAAAGCCGAATTCGCTGGCCAAGCTATAAATTCCTCTCGCATCTCTTCGGGGCGAGCGTCTATGGTGAAATCGATTTAAATTACGTACGCCGGCGCTCGCAGTTTTTCTCGATTCTATTTTTTGTTCCTATGCATCCAGAGCCTTTCTCGTCTATCAAGTCAATGGACGCCTGAATACATATGGCGGTAACGCGCGATAGTGCACCGTACAAACAACATTTTTCAATGTATCGACGTGCAGCTTAATTGCAATTTTTAAAAATTTTCCACATCAACGGTTCGCTTTGTTTCGTGTAATTAAAGTTTCAAATTAGTTTGATTAAAAAAGAGTTGCTGTTGATGTTTATGTGCTGACTGAAAGTTATGATTGAACTTAATTAAATTAGCTTTTGCTGGTGCGCAAAATGCAGCTGTAAAGTTACGCGATACTGGGATTTAAGTTCGTTGCAAGTTTCGTGGGCGGCAACAAAACCCTCGGACTCGTTTTGCATTGCACAGTTTTGTAACGCCGCACACTTCACGTCACGCTATCCTCCAGTGTGAGTTGGGCTGTTGGAATATAAAAAAAAAACTGGGTCTCCGTTGGCGCGGTCGCTCGCATCATTTATCAATCTCGCTCAGTGGACTCGCCGGACGTGCGCTTTTTCAAAGAACAATCCGAATATATTTCAACTGACGTACTCGTTGGTTGTGGGGTGGTTGGGCGGTGGTGCGGTGCGCCGGGGAAACGTTTGGTCGATTGCGTCCGCCGTCGTTGAATAAATGTATGAACACACGATAAACGAAGGAGGCTCAGTCGGACGCGGCAGTGAGATCAACCTCTACCACACTGCTGGTTGGTTGTGTTGGATGGTGGCTCAACCCAGGCTAATAAAGCTCTCGCTTCGCATGTTGCGAGTCATCGTTTAGTCGAACGTTAGATCGTTATTGATTATATCGTTGCCAACAACAATAAAGTATGATTTTATTTTGCGCGGAAAATACTCTTTAAAAAATTCTGCTTCCGTTTGGCATTAGGGGCTTGTTCAATGGTGCTAAATCCGTTTTGCAACGTCTTAATCCAGCGTAATGAACGAGCTAGTCATTATTTAAAGCACCAATTTATCTCGACGCTGTAAAACGGGCTCAACTAAATAGAAAATTAATTTCGGGAAAAATAAACGAGCTTAAAGTACGTGTATAATATTGGTGAAACCTGTGGGGAGTTGTGTGCGGACAACCCATGAATTGTAAATCGAGGCGGTTGGTTGGACACTGATCAAATGCAAGGGTCGAACACACAGCGCAGCAGTGCCACAATGTTGCCGTCCAACAACCGCGCGGATATCTCGGGCAAGTCTGGCTCGAGCAGCAAAGACCTAAAGTTATACAACACTCGGGTCCCGGTGCGAACCCTCCTCATGCCCGTCACGATATTAGTAACCAGGCTGGTAGCAAAGCAGTGGAGTGAGGTGGTATCGCCTCGGCGCGTGAATATATTTCGCTCGGTGCAGCCGAGTATTGTTTGTATTCCTCTCCCTTATTTACATTTGCTACGAGCGAGTGGGCTTCTTTTAAAGTTGTTGGTTTTTTTGCGTGTTCCAGACGTTGAGGCTCGTCCGCGCGGAAGGAGAACGCAAAGTTTTGCCGAGATGGCATCGTTGGAGAAGTAATCCACAATGAGCGCATTGTGGCGATGGAGGACGCTGGCGCTCGCCACCCTCCTCGCCTACCTCGGTACTGTCGTCGCCTGCCCTGGATCGTGCGTCTGTAAATGGAAGAATGGTAAACAGACAGTGGAATGCAACGACAAAAATCTTCTGTCGATTCCAGCCGGTATGGATCCAGGCACGCAGGTGCTTGATATGACCGACAACAAACTAGATGAACTCCATTCAGAGATCTTCCTCAAAATGGACTTAATCAACCTACAGCGGATCTATCTCGTGAGATGCCGCATACACGCTATCGATGAGCACGCATTTCGAGGTCTTACCAATCTGGTCGAGTTGGATCTTGCTGGGAATCTTCTAGATGTGGTTCCGACTGATGCATTCCTCGACTGCATTTCACTCATGAGACTTACACTTAGTTCCAATCCTATTAAGATCATTAAAAAGGCATCGTTTGCCCGTCTTGGGTTTCTCAATACGCTGGAAATTAGCGATTGTGAATTGGAGGAGGTGCAAGAAGATGCTTTCCATGGTCTGCACAGTTTGGAGTGGTTACGATTGGACGGCAATCAGTTGAAGAGCGTGCAAGGACGGCGTGTATTACCTGAGAATTTGCGCGGTGTAGAATTACAGGGAAACCCGTGGGAATGTGATTGTAGGCTGGTTGAGCTACGCGCGTGGCTGAAACGTTACAATGGTTCGCAGACCACGGAGCCGACCTGCCACGGGCCGTCGAAGCACGCGAAGCGGACGATCAAATCGATCGCCGCAGACGACCTCGCGTGCCTGCCGGACGTGTCTCCCACCAGCCTCTTTCTGGAGATCAGCGAAGGCAAGAACCTTACGTTGATGTGCAACGTGCACGCGACACCCGAGGCGCGCGTCACGTGGTGGTTCGAAGGGCAATTGCTACAGAACGACACGCTGATCTCTCCCGGCGTCCGCCTGCTGTACTTCATCGAAGAGGATGGTGAAGACAAGCGGAGCGAGCTGTTCCTCTACAACGCAAATGCTGATGATAACGGCACGTTTGTCTGCACCGCGGAGAACCCGGCTGGGAGTGTGAGCGCTAATTACACCATTCGGATCATTGTTAAAGAGGAGCCAATCGTTATCGGCGAGGTGTTCCCGTTCGAGTACGTGCTTGCGGGGGTCATCGGAGCCGTGGCCCTATTCATGGTCGTGATCGTTACGATTATTGTTTGCGTTGTCAAATGCCGCCGCAATAATAAACGCATGGAGAAACGCGAGAAGACCAAGGAGGTCGCCCTGCAATACCAACAGAATACAAATTCGAAAGTCACTCGTGAGGATGACACCGAACAGATACCACCTAGTATTAAACAGAACATCAACGAACAAGAGCATCAGCAAGATATCATGTTCTATAGCCCACCTTTGAGCAAGAACATTCTAGGCACAATGTCACCCGTTGCGATGGCAAATCAACTCCATAGTCCTATTTCTCTTAGAAGATATCAACTGGAGCAAAATCCTGACCTCATTAACGATACTGAAACAGGAGTTCGAGTTCGGAAGGATGACGTTGAAGGATGTCGCGATGCTTCTGTATGCACTGAACAGTTGACTCCAATGTTGCACCCAACGCTGGTGCAGTTCCAACCCATTAGCTGTATGCGAGGTTCTAGAAAACTCTATTCATTACACAGTTGGGACGCTGGTTGCTCAATGGATTCCGAAGGTTACCCAGCTGATTATGGACTACCAAAGATCCAACCTCAACACCAGCATCAGGTACCACATTCACATCAACATCACGCCGCTCCTCCACCACAGCCACAACCCGCTGAGAATTTCTATAGAACGTTGCCTTACAATCGCGCCGCAAAACGCGCATCCGCCGCAAACCCAATGAGCAGGTACTCTCGAGAAGCAGAGTTCCTCTCGCGTAGTGCCCACCCTGCTCCTTACGAGCACTACTGCCCTGATGTCCGGTACACGGCTGATGGTTATCTACCGAAACACTGCGACGTCGGCACGATACCGCAGGTCACGGTCATTCCATCTCCTCCGGAGGGTTATAAAACTGACGGGGCGCCCTCATCGCTACCGTGCGCTACCACCATTTGCTGGCCAGCGCGCGTGAAAACCGCTCCGATAACGAGCGCAGACAACAAATGCTCGACGATTAGTCGGCGGTGCGTTGGAGCCCAGACCACCGAGACTGGTAACGACCGGCAGCATGCGGCGAACGCCAAGACTGAACCGCCGCCGGGGGCTACTTCCACACCTGACGCTAGCAACGAAGTGAACCAGAGCCCAGACGAGGGCTACGTCGACGAACAGGCAGTGACACTCTAGAGTGCTCTAGACGAGACGTGCAAAAAATCCTGGTGCGCGACGGGTTAATTGAGAGTGGTCTCTGACAGTGTGTTACAAACGGCTAGGACGTGTTATAAACAGGGTAAAATTGTAAATTATTTACGATCACGTTTAGTTCACATTTCCACTAAAACTGAACCATTACGACCTCCCTCGGCTATACATCAATATATATATATTGTCAAATTCGGAATCTTGTAGCACTTGTAGTACTGCATTTCTCAATGTTCAGTGCAGGCCGTTGAAGTTGTTACTAAACTCGAACATGAATACGCCGTCGATCGGTGAGCGCTTTAGTACGCTGTATGCCCGCGGAAAACAAAACAAGCGAATGTTATCAGCGCAAAATGGCGGTGCGCGCGCACAGCGAATGCTTTTGACATACTCGAACGTAACATGACGCCCTGATACGGTGCGGTTGGAGAATTCGCTATATGTGCGCTGCATGCACCTGATGATGAATCGAAGTCGTACATTAAAGCAAGCTTGCGAACAATCTCGCACACCGAACGACCTGAACGTGCAACACGCATTCAGCCGGTGTTACATCGGCGCACACTTGCTTTCCGCGCGGAAAACAAGAACATTGACGCGGAATGAAGAGTGGAAATGCGGAAGCGCTGAAATAGACGGCGCGTAGCGGATTCGGATTACCGACGTGGTCGGGTTCGAACAGTTGCAGAAGCGTCGAATACAGGTTAGACGAGGGAGGGACAATGATGGCGCTAGACTTAACAACAGGTAATTCAGATTAATTAGAAGCGCAAAACTAATTGTTTTCTGTATAGAGGTGCACTTGATAGCAACTACTCAATTGCAGAATTTACACATTGTACAATGTACATAAAATTGAATTTGTCCAATTTGTCGGATGAATATAAAACATGTAGATAAAAAATTTTAAACGATGGTGCGATATTTTACGTTACGTAGGAGACTTTTGTTTCTGACGACTCTTAATGATATCATAGAACAAAACCGATTATAATGAATACCAATCATTACGGCAGTAATAGAAATAATGCGAATCTTATACACGGAATGTACTTACATATATATAAATATATATACTAGTTACATTTACACGTTAATTGGTAGAGTTTATGTAAACAAACAAAGACGTAGAGGAAACTGTTAAAGTTATTATTCGTTTTTTGTAAATAACTGTTTGGTCTTTCATTATAATGACGATATAAACACAGGATATAATAATAAAATTTTCACAAAAAAAGTTTTTAATTTTTTTTACTTTGCAGGTAAAAGTTTTAATGTGACAGTCTGCAATCGATGCAGTTAATGCAAGCCACAAAGATAAGACGTTGTTTGATGCTGGTATCGCAAGTTTACCACACGGCGTCGTAAGATCGACGTCGTTTGCGCGCAAAGTCGGACGGGTAATGTATGCCCGACGCGAGCAGGCCCCTCATTCCCCATGCCCATCGTATATCACCTCCCGCCGACGGGGGCGGCGGCGTGTATGCGCGTAATTCTTGGCGGCGGCGCGGTTGGCCTTGTTCGCTCGCTCGAAAACTGATGTATGTGTATCTAAGAGCCAGCCGCGCGCTCTGCATGCCGTCGCGCGACAAACTAAGGAGTCGTGTAGGACTAAGCACGAAGACTGCGAGAAGAGAGCAGCTACGGTCGCGCGTCGGCGGTACTAGATAATGTTAATGTAATCTTGGGACAAATATAATTCAGCACATAAATCCCGAGTATGCCTCTTGTTAGTTTACTTGTTTTGGGTTATTACGTTATGCTAAGAAAGCTCAGGAGAGATCTTTATCACTGCGCGTGCATTAGTTGGGGATATATCTTGGCCTCGGGATATATTGCGCGCTCGTAAGATCTACGCGGTGCCCGTAGCTTAATCTATTATGGAGCAGTTGTCCGAGCCGCCTTCGTCGCCGCCGCGCGCATGCTGTGCGCTCGCCAGTTTTGCATACAGAATAATAAGAGGTAAGTTGCAGTAAATGCGTCGTGAAATTTTCCATAATGAAAACCTCTAATGCAATGCAAGCGCATTATGTCTTGTATTATCTTGCTAGCTCCTATAAACTGCATTAATTATTTTTCTTGTGAAATTTTTAATTAAAACATAAAAATGGCCATAATTTACGAATTTTACAAGTGTGGCGGTTTTGACAGCGACACATAGCACTTCTTAGTTTCAGTTTGACTTGCATCTCGACGGGCGGAAGTTGTTACCACCGGCGTGCGAATGCGAAGTGTGAGCGAGGATCAATACACGCCGCCGCGGGAGCGGCGAGCGAACGCTGCGGGAATCTCAATTGTTCCGCGTTCCGCGCCCGCTGTCAGGACTTAAAGAGTGGTTGGTCAACTAGCGCACATGCCTGTCTTCTCGAGTTATCCCACCGGGGACCTGCCGCCGCCACCGCTGCCCCGGGTTAACCAACGTGAAAGCGCATGGAATGAAAAGAAATAAACGTACGCGCATGCCGCAAATAAAAATGTTTTTATTTACTCGCGCGACACGTCAATGCCAACGTGTGCAGAATGTCATGCAGAACAAAAACTGCAGAGCACTTAAAAAAATACTAAAAAGCTGACAAATACAACAGATATATTAAATTAAAATATTAGATATGCCAAAATTTATTACACATGATTGCGCAGTGTTTGAAAAACATGTTTTACTATGTGTGGGAAGCAAGTTTGAAAGATGTTGCGTTGTTGCGTCAAAATTTAATAATGTAACTGCTCCGAGCCATCTGGAGAATTATTCAGTATGTGCTCATTAGAAGCGAAGGATATTTACGAACGTATCTATCAATATTTACATTCAGTACGCCAGCAGAGCACATAAACAGCACATACATTCATTGAACCTGATTGGCCCAATTTGTTACCTTAGCACGAATTATACACGCATGCATTGCGACCGCAAAATTTGTGTTTCTGATATCTTCCTTTAATGATACTAATATTTGAATGATAATAATGCAACCATGCAAAAATATACAATATCATATTTCTGCTATTGTTAAATTATTAGCCATTAAATTCTAAATATTGAATAGTTTATGATATGATATATTTTTGATTACACTCGGTGGATGTTTGCATTTGGAACCTCAAAGGTTTAATTTGACGTCGGAAAGCCACAACCTTAAAGTGCTGGAAGCTTCTCAACGAGTAGTTTGCATGACGATATTTGTACAGCAAAATTTATCGGTAGTTATAATTCACTATGAATTTAATCCACAACGCAATGAAATAAATACGCTGAATTTTGTTGTGCTGTTAGGACCGCAATGCACAAACCGCAATTTAAAAACATCAAAATCACGAATTGCTGGTTTTTGGTCAAATGTTATTATCGGTTGTATGTAGATTGGTTTTGAATTTACGTTTTGAACTAATCCATCCACACACCTGCATAACTTTTGTGTTAATTAAAATCCTAAAAAATATTTTACGCCTCAAATTTTAAATTTTGTTTATTTTTGCTCTTAAACCGTGTTTTATTTGCAAATGAGCGTAGAAATTGTGTCTTCAACTAGCGGAAAATATTTTTTTGCTTTTCTGTATATGCGCTTACTATTTTTGGATTTGCATGATTTGCATGACGGCGCTTGCATATATGATGTCGGATATGCGATTAAAAGAAGCACGCGAAGGTGTTTGCAGGCTGTAATGAAAGCATGCTACCTTTTTCAACGCGCGCCCGGTTTCAGAAGCGGGGCGTGCAGATAAGCTAAATTAAATTTTATTCACTCCGCAAACACACATCCGCCTCACGCGTACGCTAAAATGATTGCAATTACAAAGTCAGATGCAAACTCACAATGCACCCGCCCGACAGTTACTAACATTTAATAAAAGCCCAGCGCCTCCACCAAAAAAAGAGCCGACCGTAAATGGAATAATCTGCATGCGCGAGAGAAAAAAAAAACAAGTCACTTTACAAATTCATTTTTAAATTGCGTTTTATATTCACTTTCCTATATGCTTTATGCCCGAGATATAGATTAATACACAAATTGGTATTCAGTGTGTTTAAACCATTTTTTGTAATATTTAGATTAGTTGGATAATAAATTGGCAATTTGTGCGTTTAAAATTCCATCAAGGCAGAGTTGGCGAGATAGTGTGATGAATGCATTGCACATTTGCTGGAAATGGTTGGTTGGAAATGATTACGTGCGGGCGCGAGCGTCGCTTTTCTCTTTCGCCGTTTTGACGTACTGCATTTCGCGCGGGCGCCCTGCATTTGTCAGGCGCGGCTAAAAAGCTTACCGAGCCGCGCGGAATGGTAATTTGCTGAAGATTCGGAGCATATCGGAAGCTCATCAAAACTCCGCGGAATTAGGACGCGACCCGAACATCCGTCACACAGGCACGCGCACACGCCCGGCACCTCCACCAATGCGATTTGACGTTCACGTTTGCGAGCGAGCAATTCTCGACTCTTGACTGCGGTTGATTTATTAACGCCTCGTACGTCTATCTGTGTACGGGCTTCTCCCGCGGCGTGTGTAAATCCGTCGCGAACCATTTTTCCTTTTCGCCGAGCATTCACTCACACACACCTTCGCATTTATATCTTGTTGGCGCTGATGAAAACATTACTACGCGGAAAATCAAAAACCGGAAGTCAACGAAATGTCACACACCGGAAATGACTCATATTATTACTTATTACTAGGAAATCGTAAATTAATTACAAACGTCAAATTAGAAAATTTTGCAGCGCTGCACTTTTCTGTACTTTACGAAATAAAAAATAAAATTGTCAGCAAAACGTTCAGCGATACGGGTTTTTATTTAAAAAGTTTGAACAGTTTCCGCCCGTTAAGACAACGCTTGGCCGATTGCGACGTTTCCGCCACGTTTGATAAATAAAAAGCGCCCGTTTGGCTTTTTGCGCACGTCCAGCATGCATTTAAATGTGCACTCCGAACTCTATCTCTTTGGTCGCATCTGAAATTAGCAAACAAACGCGCATAGGATGCCACGCTTTGTAGACGGAGAGAGTGCGCAAACATTTGGTGCTTGCACAAAGCGAATTGCACTCGGTGGACTTGCGATGATGAGTATGTCCGACGATTCAAAGTAGCGTACCACTCGCATATTGTTTAACGTGTCTGGTCGTCAATAGGTTGCCACCGCGTTGGCCGCAAAGCGCAGTCGAGAGTCCATCGGATGGGGAAACAACAATTGCGCCAACCTTCAACTATTCAATCAGGGGAATTTGTTTGGTACATCTCGGAGTCTCTCTTGCAATAACAATGGTTGTGAGTGTTTGTCGTGTGGCGACGGAAGGACAAACTTTGCTATTGTGTGGTCCTGGGTGCGGGCAAATTCGTGATGACAAGATGTGAAAAAGTTTAAATGTGATATTTCAGTTGCTATTTGTTTTAGATTCCGGTCCGGGGGCTTTGTGACTGTTTGCGTACAAATTGCAAAAAGTTACGTGATGTCATTTTTAGTCGCCTGAATTCTCAACTTTTGAAAACGCAATTGTAAGATCCTGTATTATGCAATTTAAAACTCACCCTGTGAGGTGGCTACTTTAAGTTTCATGGCAGCAATCCATACTTACACGCCTTGTCAGTTCGCATTGAAATATGAGGAAATTTGATAGGAAAACCGTGCGGCGTCAGAAGTGGGTGGTTTCTTCGAGGCATCGGCAGGGCACAGCCTTCGGAAACTTTTACCGTCCTGGAAAATTTCGCGTGCTTCCTGGCAGGTCGAACAAGATACTTTGGCGAGTTGAAAATTTAGTGCAAACGAGAAAAAACATTGTCGAAATGCTTCCGAAATGCCAGCAAGGTAGCAAACTTTTCATTTTCGCGGCGGTAGCGCAAAAACGCGCTGCAGTCGAGTGGATTTCTTGGCGTGTTATTAGCATCAAAAACTTGCTGCCGCCAGAACTATTCAAGAAACGAATTCGGCGCTAACGTGGCTCAGGTGTTCGTTGAAAAGATTAAAGCAATTTGCTGCTGATATTCGTCCGGATCCTTCCGCGCGCTGGCAAATAATGATTGCACTATAAAAAACGACAGAAAAAACAACCTTTCTATTCTGGGTTTTGTCCTTTCCAACTGAACTCGCGTTGTTTTAGTTCAGCCCAAAAAAAGTAAAAACGACTACACGTGGAGCCAAAAAAAAAATCCAAGCATTTTTATTGTTGTCCTGCGCAGGGTCCAGAACCAAGGGGGAAAATAAATTGGCGATTATCTGCTACAATGTTGTTGAAATATAAATGAG